AATAGTATATTAAATTATATTTGAGTTCTGAATAAGTCGACTCAAATTATGAGTCAGACAAGTCAGTAAAGTTAAGTCAAGTGCTAAACTCGAGCTAAAAATTGAACAATTTTTTAGTTTCATTCAAAAGAACTGATTAAAAGTATCGTTCTGATAGAACGATAGAAGAATTATTCTAAAGGAATGATTAAAAGCATTGTTCTGATAGAACGATAAAAGAATCATTCTAAAGAAATAATTAAAAGCATCGTTCTGATAGAATGATAGAAGAATTATTCTAAAGGAATGATTAAAAGCCTCATTTTCATAGAACGATAGAAGAAACGTTTTAAAGAAATAAATTTTTTTATCGTTTTAATGTAGTATCGTTTTTAAGGAATGATTTTTTGTATCGTTCCTTTAGAATGATATAATATCATTCTTAAGGAATAATTTTTTCATCATTCTGATAGAACGATATAGTATTATTCTTAAGAAATGATTTTTTTATATTGTTCTTTTAGAATAATCTTTTATTATTCTTGAGAAATGATGCTTTTAATTGTTCCTTTAGATTGATTTTCTATCGTTTTACCGTAATGATCCTTCTATCATCCTTTGAAATGATTCTTTATCATTGGAAGATAAAATTGTGAAACTCGTTAAGAATTTGTGATTCTTTAAGAGTATCGCTAAATTTTTTGTAAAAGCAAATGACTAAATGATAAATGCTAAATGATTTATAATTATAACAAAGGAATAGACAAATTATTTAAATGGTCAAATAACCAGATCATTTCCGAACACTGCTATCCTATATATTGATTATTTATAAAATATATATTAAAATTTGATAGTATAATTTATAATAAAAAATTTATTTCAATTTTTTTATATATTAAATAGTATAAAATAATTTTTTAATAAAAAATAAGTAATTAACAGTAGAAAAGTATGAAATTACAAAATATTAAACCCTTTATTTTATATCTAAATATAAAATAAATATCAGATTTATATTTTTCAAATAGTTTTTTTCTTATAAATACTATTAACTTTCTTTATAATAAACCTTTTTATAATAAACTTTGAATAAAATAAATTTTAAATTTTTTAATTTTATATTAAATTATTATAAATAAAATAGTTCTTGTAGAATATAATTATTTTTTATAAAAAACTTTTTTTTTTCAATAAAACTATTAGTTTATTATAAAAAGTTAGTAATAATTATTTTTTCTTTATAATTAATAAAAAGTGATGAAATCTTATCCTTTAGACTGTTTAGCAAGCCATTTATTTACGAAATTTAAAAAAAAGTGTTAATTTCTTTATAAAATATTAAATATTAATTTTAGTAATATTATTATATATAAAATATAGTTTAATGTATTTTTTATCAACTTTATTAACAAGATTTTAAGTTTTTAAAAAGGTTTTTAAAATAATTCAATTTTAAGTTGAAGGTAAGTTTTATTTAAAAAAAAAAAATTTTCACGAAAACTAATATAATTATTTTAGATAAGATCGGCATTTTTGGTGGGAAGTCGTTTATTATATAGAAATATAAAAAAAAAGATGATCAATATCATAATGTCTTCCTTACTCGGTCTAGTTGGAAAGTTTCCTCGTCCAGCATTACGAACAATTCGACCAAGAGCCTTTTTATCATCTACAGCTACATTACTTCAATACAAATTTAAGACTTCGCAGAAACGAGTTCAGGATTTTCTTAAGGAAAGAGGTTTCCCCGACATCAACCTTACAGCAAAGAAATTCAATAAAAGTGATTTGGAATCACTGAGAGTGATATTCCAAGCAGCTCCATCTAAAGACCATGTCATTCCTAATATTGAGGGTAACAATTCGTTGTGACATTTCACTTAACAAAAAATCTCATTCTCACAAAACAAACTAATTGTCAAATGTAGTTGAAGATCCAAAAGAGTTTATTCTCCCAACAATTAACCGCAACATACTCACCGAAAAAACTTTCGATATTCACAAACTTGACATTTCAAATGAATCCAAATCATTAATATACTATCTGCATAATATTATCGTAAATGAAACTACCGATATTGAAGAACCAGTTCAATCAATTACTATCGATATGGTGATTATGCTGTTATTGCATATTTTCTCCAGTAAATGGCCCTTAATAATTAGGTAATTAAGAGAATGACCATATTTTTGTGATACATTCTGATCATAAAGTTTATATTTTACTGAAAACCAGGTGCTGGCCGAAATGCGGAATGTTTCTCTTTGGTCAGCAGTACCTTGTTTCAAGACCTGAATTTATAATTGATAAGGACAAAAGGCTTGAAATGGTTATTATAGAGGTTTGTATGGTATTGATTATTTAACGGGGCGCATTTTCAGGTGACTCGAATAATCTTTATTTAGGATAGACACATAGAAAATATTGGGCCTGATACTAATTTTGGAGAAACGCAGCTGGCTGCCGAGCTTCTTACCTGTGGATATGAAAATATGAATGCTGCCAGTAAATTTACTGATCAGTACATATTTGCTGTTCGATTTCTTTTCACCGATGTTACATTTTACAAAGCTTCAATTCCTGCAGCCTATTGGGAGGAGATTTGTAATGGTTTACCAACAGAAAACTCAGTTCTAGTTGAAAGGTGGCCAGGAGAAATTGGTTTAGCAGCTGGCCTAGATCTCACGGAACCGGATGGGAGACAACAAGCGCTAGAGGGATTAACAAAAATTGCTCAATATCTTCTGCAGAAGACGGAAAATTAGTTTTAACGAAATTTCTCAGTAACTTTCTCTATTGCGAATTATAACTGAAGTCTACTTAACTTAGTTTAAGTTTATCTACGATTTATTTTATTAAATTACATCTATTACTTAAAAAAGACTTTTAGTTTGATATCTGTTTGTTTTTCAAGTGCCAAATATCTCCTAACCGTTTTGGTTCCTTTGAACTGTATTGAATTCAAAACAAATGTTAACTTATACGTATAATGATAAATATTATTATTTTACTGTGATCAACCAATAGTAATTAAATTTTTTTTATTATTATGTATTAATAATATTACCCACTGTGAGCTGTGTTAAATGGTGATCACCTGTATCACGAGTTTATATTAGGGATGGGTCTTCGGTTCGTGATCTAGAGACCGGTTTATATTATACATTCAACATAAATGACAAATTTTGAGTGTATTTCGAAATTACCATTTGATACAAGACTGTTGATGCATCGTGTGAAATTTAAAAAATTTCACAATTTTTTTTTTTTAAAAAAAAAGTGATTTCGTTGAGAATCCCATTTATTTTTTATTTTTTATATTTTATAATGCTAATATTGATTGATGTGAAAATTTTAGTAAATAAAAAAGTTTCAAATGTATATGAATCCGTCCTGGACTGATTGTTGAACCGGTCATGTAAACCGGTTTTATAAACCCAGTCCGGTCCGTCTACAGTTTTAAGGACCGGTTATCAGGACCGCGGACGGACTAACACATCCTAGTTTATATATTTGTGTTATCATTCACGTGATCATTTTGTTACTGAGGGGTTAAGAGTTAGGATTAGGATTAATGATTAGAGTTGGATAGGTTATTTTATTAATCAATCCCAACGAGTTATGGTAAGGAGGTTAGGTTATTTTTATCTCTATTTAGAATTAGGGTCAAAATATGGGTGGAAAATCTTTGGGTAAGATGATGATCACCACCAGTGAACGTAGTAATTTTCTTAATATAATAATTAATGTGATTTATTTAAATTTGATGTTTTTAAAATTTAAGGAATCATTTGATTCCGGATTATGCAATCATTTATAATGATAATGAAGATAATTTTAAAAGAATATCAATTAGAAATTACTAGAATAAATTTGTATAAAAGGGACAAGGATTCGTCCTATAACAGAAATTTGAAGAGAACAATTAGAATAAAAATAAAAATTAAACGTTTCGACGTAAATGCGCTAGAAATGTCAGGCACATTCATATTAAACACCTTATTTTATTTCTTTCAATTATAATTTCAACTATAAACTTAAAAAGGTAGTGACAATATTTTTTGATGCTGATTTGAATATTATAATTTTCTCTATCTATTTAATTACTACCGCATACAAGGCCGGAAATTCAGAAAACCAGGACTATATAATTCTACGACGGTGACACAAGATAAGATGTCCCATTGTTCGCCCGCTCAAAAATTGAGTCGATAGGTGATTGATTACTTTCGTTACACTTGCTCCGGTCTTAACAACAGCCCCTTTCCCTAGTTTAGTATGGTACCAGAGCAATCAATTAAAAAATAAAAAAGCCTTTCGCACATATTTCTTATTGGTAACATTCCACCTTGCCTAGATATCAAGATTTTTCATTGGGTTCCTGCAAGGACTTAAGGAATTAGGTAAGGTTTTTGTTTCGGATTTTTAATGACTCTTACTCCATTTTGAAATTTGATGAACAAGCAAACGTGCTGATTATTGCATTTCAAACATTTGAACATTTAAAAAATAAAAGAAGATTGATTGAAAATATGATAACTTTCTTCCAAAGCATCAACCAGCACATTGTTTCTTTTGCAATAACTTTTGGTTTGACCGTTTTGAATGATGATTTTAGCGAATAAGTTAAACATAATTTATTAAAATTTCGTAAATTGGATATAAAGGATCAGTAAGAAATATCTTCTTTCATTTTGTAATGATACGAACCGCGTGGTTGTTATCAGCAAGTATGATCAAAGACCCTTCAGTATTCAAGAAATTATTTATGCTACGGACAATTTTGCAGTTTGCCAAATGAATTAATCCGGAAAAGTATTTTAACACCTTAAATTTTGTCTTGCCACGAATCATATTATAATGATATGGAATAATATATGAATTAAAGCATTCAACAATTGTAGTTAACTTATAATCTAAAACTAGGAATAACCATAATTTTAATCGCATTTCAAAACCGGAAATTGATATTCACTACCGTCCTAAGCGCAAAATTGTATTTCGTTTCATATAAGGCATGTCAGGTAGTTTTCTCAAGGCTTCCAATCTTTTGGTTAATTTCGATCTGTCTGGAATGGTCGCCTCTATTAATGATCAGTCTTACTTTCTTTTTACTGTGTTTATATGGCTTATCTGGTGTTGCGTAATAGAATTACAGCGCATTTGGAACTCTCATGCTTACTCCTGACAGACTAAATTGTTCCAATTTTGGATCCAGTAAAGTTGAAAATGCATTAATGCAAATTCAATCAATAGTAACTGAAAGACATGAAAAACGAAAATTAGAATAATAAATTTTTTTTATTTCAGTTAAATTGTTACGAAAGTATCTGATCAATAATCTCCATAAGCTAAAATATTTTCTTACATATTCAACATATTCAACTAGGTTCATCGTTGATGAATGTTGAAAAGAGAATTACGCAAATGAACTATTTATCTATTGCAAAATATATTTGTAAATTTGAGCTAATGCTTCCAGTGTCATTTTTCTCCCACACGACGATGAAAGATCAAAACCAGTTGTTAAACTATTTCCTTGAGGCCACCTTTCTACAATAATAGAATTTTTTTTTGGTAAGCCATTTTTAATTTCTTCCCAATAGGCCGCGGGAATTGTTGCTTTGTAAAAAGTAACATATGACGATATAAAACGAATCGCCAAGATAGAATGATCCATATCTTTATTGGCGTTATGAAAGTTTTCATACGCAGTAGTAAGAATTTCTGCTCCAATTTGGGTTTCTCCGTAAAAAGTGTTTTTTCTGACGTTTTTTATGTGCTTATTCTACAAAAAAGTATATTAGAGTCATAAAACATTTTGATTTTTCAAATTATTAAGATGATTCCAACCTCGATAACTATCATATTAATGTTTTCTTTCTTAATTACAATGTCGGTTTTGGCGGTCAGGTACTTAAGACCTAAAATGTCCATTTCAAATTTCGTTTGCATACTAAAAAGTATAATAAAAATATTAACTTTTAAGATACTATAGGAATGTATGACAAAAGCTGGATGTTTACAATAGATACCGAGTGGTTAAGGGATATTTATTGAAACCAATAATATCTAAGAATAAATGGATCACCAGGCAGTCGATCAATGATTCATCCGTACGCTCATCAGTTTCATTTATTATAACATTATTCAAAAACGTTAAAAATGTTTTTGAATATTCATCTAAGTGAAGGTTTTTAATATCTAAATACTTCTTGGCGAGTATGGTTCGGTTGAATTTTGGGAGAACAAGTTTTTTTTGATATTCAACTACGTTGAAGTTTAGTTTGTGAGAATAAGAATTTCTAAGTTAAATATCACAACGAATTATTACCTTCAAGATCGGGAATGACATCGTCTTTAGATGAAGCAGGTCGGAAAATGACTTTCATAGCTTTCAAATCAATTTCTTTGAATTCTCTTGCAGAAGTATTGATCACGGGAAACCCCTTCGATTTTAGTAAATCCTGTGCAAGTGTGCGCGTAGCCATAAGTTTGGTTTCATATAATGAGGTTGTTGAAGTGAAAAAAATCCTTGGCCGAGGACGTAATATACGAGAGAACACTGAGAGACGGTGTAAAAAAGACATTGTATGAACAATTAGATAATTTTAGATGATCTGTTTTTTTTAATAATGAAAACGAGAAATAAATATGTCATAGTAAAAAAAGTAAAAAGCTTATTACAAATACAAATTAAAAATACAAACTTACTATGTTACGATTTATTGGACTCCGATTTCACGAAACGATTTAATGGCGTAGTAAGTACCCCGCGTCCCATCAAAAAATCACGGGCACACGATTGCTTTCAGTATAGGAAGTAAAAATGTTGCCCTCTGTTAATTCAAAAAAAATTAAAAAGATACTCGTTCACCATTTTATTATAATTGTTTCACAACGACTAACTCATCGATCCTATAAAATTTTTATAATAGAATATGGAATACCCTCCCATTCCTCAATCATAAAATATCAAGTTTTTTTGCCGTCTCTCTAAATTAGACTTGACGATACTCCATAGATTTCTATAGGGTTGTTAGATGTGATGGTCATTCAATTATTACTGGCACATTTTTTCGGAGAAATTTTTTATCAACAGAACTTGCATTATTATTCGTGCTGAAACGCCAGAAACGTCCTAGTATTTGTTGAACTTCAGGCTTCTGAAGTATTTCAACATAACAAGATCCGTTCATTATTGTTGAAACAAAAAAGACTAGTTTTTTTTGGATAGGGCGAATTGGCCGGGTGCCTCTTTCATCCAAAAAAGAGGTTTATTCCGTTATCATTAAGATGAGCACGACCCCACTCTACACGTCTTTCCTTATGAGTACTGGCAGTTGTTAATAGAAAATTATTCTTATAACTTAGCATTTAGATGTGTCGAAATGGGACATATCAATATATTTTTCAGCTAATTTATTTGCTATTTTTCGGGAAGATAGAGTATGATCATGTCTCAAATATTGTCAATAGCTTTAAATGATCCAGGAATGATTTTTAGGACGACGACTACCATTTTTACGTGCAATGCTTCCAGTATCTCTTAATTTTCGAAGATTGTATTTAATTGTTCTTAATGACATGTTGGTTTTTTTATGTATTTCATGGGGGTGATTGTATTTCCGTGTTCCAAAAATGAGTGGTAAATGGCTTCCGGTTGTGATTTTTTACCTTGTAAAAAAAATTTAATAATGAGATCGAATAAACAATGTATTTATTTTGATTTGGTCTTTATATAGGAATTTTATTTTAATAAGATCAACGAAATTTTATTGGTTGACAGTTTGTGTAACAACATTTTTTGAAAAAATAATATTGTATTGTTAATTTTTAACAACTGTGAATTAATTTTCGATAAGTGTCACATGAAAATTTTTGTCTCATAAAACTATTCTTTTAAAATCACGTGCCCGAGCTTATTGTCGGTAAACTAAATCAGTGAAAAAATAGTGTGGCATATTATTTTAATAAATCATGACCTTTTTAAGTTGATTGCCGTGTAACATCTTTCATGTTTTTATATGACATAAAATAATTCATTCGTAGTCTGTTTGCAAAAATTAATCGCTTTTTTAGAAAATAATTAGTGCTTTTTTCTGAATTTAATGTGTTACGTTATCTTATGGTTATATAATTAGGAGATATCGATTTTGTAAATTATAAACAATCGAAAGATTTTATTAATAAAAATGCAAAGAAAACCAATTAATACTGATTCAATCGTGGCGCAGTAGTAATAATGTTAAAACTCGAAATTAATAAAGAAAGCTTTTCGTTGGAATTTCGTTTGAATTCTTATTCTATTTGTCTTAAATCAGCTAAGACTGTCAAATAATATATTGACTGTGCTTGTCGAAGACATGATCAGAGCAGAGTGAAAAAAAAAAGATTTTGTCAAAAACCTCATGCAATTATGGGCACTACAAGTCATATATTTATTTGTGAAAGATTGCAATAAAATTAAGTATATTCATAGTAAAATGTTATTTTTATTTATTAATTACATTTGCGCTTTCTCAACATACTTACAGCAAAAATATTTTTTTCATTAACTAGGAGGTCTCAGACTTAATTTTGAAACTGAAAGAGAAATTTATCCTTCAGTCTAATTCACAAAATAAAAATAATTTCTGCAGCTCACATCAACACATGCAAATTAGAGTGATCCATATTAAAAGAATCAACCCTAAGAAATATTCTAAAATAAATTATAAATAAATACAGAAGAAAATGTCCTAAAAATAAAAATAAACATAATAATTAATAAAAATAAAAAAAAAGCCTTCTGTAGAAGACCAGTAGCCAATGGATCCAATGTATGTTAGTTAAGTCCAATGGATCTATAAGAGACAAGTTAATCAGCTAATTTATTATATGGGAGCGTTTCCAGTAAAATCACATTACGGATCATATGATTTACTATGCCTCATGACTTGATTTTACTGAAAACGTTTCCATATATAAATTTAATTGATTTTAAAGCTTATTTTATATTTATTTTAATCATCAAACCTTAGAGAATATCCAATAAAAATTTTGAAATGCAAATGAAATATTTTTATTATAGTTTAAATTAATATGTTGCAATTCTTAAAATCAATTTGAAAATACTCCCAAAGTTTGATCTTAGTATCATTAAAGGACTTATCTTTTAGAAAAAATGGTATTATTATAGTAAAAAATTAGGTTCAGTAACTCAGAAATCATAACATAAATATTATAAGATGTTGTTATACAATAGTTATTGGTTTCTTTTGAAATGTCGATTTGCATCATTGAACAATATTTTATTGATTAAACTTCATGAACTGGGATCTCTCGTTATTTTATCATGGATTCCAATTCTAATCCATAAGGCATTAAAGTTTGTTACATATTATGTGCATAGGATTTTCTTGCTAAACTTATTTGATTATTTACAAAGAAAATAGTTTCTTATGTAAATATTTATTGAGGATTTTGTAATTTTGAATACGAAATAAAGTGTAACTCAACTTTATTATACCTCCTACAATAGCTTTATAGCATGTCACAAAATCATGATTTTATAGGCCATTCAAAGGGAATAAAAATAGCCATTCCTTCCTCCATTCCTTTACTTCTTAACAACATTGTCTCTTGAATTTCTTGATATAAAAAAGACTTTTTAAACAAATGTCTTCTGAAAATTCTATAAAAGGATAAAGTCAAAATAGATAACTGACAAGGTTGAAGTAATATCATTAAAAGATTTTATGGCGCTAATCTTAGTAGTTGCTTTGCTAGTTAATGATAAAGGATAAATTATACCAATTCTTGAAAATTCATACTTGGTAAAATATATTTCAGAAATTAAAAAACTACCATCATCTTTAAAAAAATAAAAAATCACGCTAATATTTTTATAAAAATAAGTATGGTAATTTTGAGTATTTCAAGCTAATAGTTGGGGAACCAGAATCATAGGTAATAAAAAAATATGAAAAAATTTCTTTTATATTTGTTATATTAATTCAGAAGCTTTACAACTTATAGTTGATATGTTCACTATACATAAAGTCAAAATAAAAACCCAGAAGTCGAAATGTTTCGACTTTGAAGGTCAAAGTCAAAATGAAAAGTCGAAATGATCAAATGATCTCATATCACATGATTTTTTATATATAGAAAATAAAAAAATAAAAGATGTACAATCTCTATCAATATCACTTTGATTCATATAAAACAACTACCATTCGATTTCTCGTGATTAGACGAATCCATTGAACTAACATTCATTGATTTTAGATTAGCCCATCTTGAAATA